GAGATGTGAGATATTTCGAGCGGTTTCATCAGCAGTCTGCGACGGATTCTGCGCATCAGTTGGTGCGGGAGAGTTGCAGACACGAAATAGTGGAATGTATGCAGTAGACTGCATACATTTGCTGAGACAAGGTGTCTCGGTCATGGATTCGACGACGACAACTACGACAGCAGCAACAACAACAGCAGTACATCAGCCACTTGAGATCATGCTTCGCTGCCATACAGCCATGATGACCTATGGAATAAAAATTATTAAGAGAGAGATAAGGGTGATTTACAGGAAAATCTTAATGCCCCAAGCAAACATTCAGGAGCAAAGCGCTTACACACTATGTTAACAACATTCCGTCATAAACAACTGGTCAGCTTGCGAAGATAAGGCGGCATTAGCGAGACAACTTCCTCGCGGCTTTCACTGCCCAGCGTCATAATCAGCCACTACCCCGCAAATAACAACACCAAACGGGTGTAAGGGTACTCGCGACGCTAGGTCGAGAAGAGCAGTGACCAGCACCGCTGTTGATTGGCATGAAAAGTTCTGCTAGTCTATCTTTAGGGGTTGAAATCTAAAATTGAGCATCTGACAGTCGTATGATTGCGAACGAAGTCAATAAGCTCACTAGAATTGTTATCAGGAGCCCTACATACTAATAGTGTCTAGCTGCTTAGGGCCGCACATTTCAACCGAAATGACTTTCGCAACCTTGTCGGATAAGTCAAACGTGCGTTTGAAAATAGCCAGGGCTAATCTCCACCACGACGGTCGAATGTGTGGTCAGCTCTCAGTCATTCGTAGCTTAGTGTGCCCACTTCCTTGTCCGTAACGTCGGATGACAAGCACGTTTCAATGAATGCAAGAAAGTTGCGTCTACAATGGTCCATACCTTGTCTCGCATGCTAAAACAGAACTGAGAACTACCTGGAGTTTATCGGTATAGTGAGCCCGGAATCGTGCGCCACCAATACTGCTTCTGACAGTGTGGAAGTGGACTGTCGGCTCATCATCCGAAAACCTACCAAACGAAGACCCTTCTCTTCGTCTTCACGGGGCGCTCTAAGTTCTTTGACAACTACTTTAACTTCAATCTGTCGGCCAAAGGAAGGTCAAGCTGGACACCGACTTCAGAACCATTGAGTTTAGAAGCAAAACGTAGGAGTGTCTGGTGTTCAACTGGATTAGAAAGAATTACAGGTCCGGGGTTCGGCTCGTCAATCTGCACGGTGCCAAGTCTCGTGAGTCTTCTCACTGTTACCACGGGGGCAGTAATTTTGATACACAAAGCCTAAACCGTTGGAAGTCTTCTATTGTACGCACTTTCGGAAGAGTAGCAAGGGGTTCAGATACGCCCCTTAAAAGAGGCTGCGTTCAGTGAAGAACCGCGACGATGAGTATTTACTCCGCGTGACATAGAACCAGGCAGGTGCGTGTCCGTAACAGGTTGTGAGGATTCTGTAGACGCACAAGTCAACGCCTGAGGCGGCGAAACATTTGGGCTTGTAGCCATAGGAACGGACTGTGAAGCAGCTGTCGAATGTAACCTGGATTTCACTGAACTAATCCTGGATGAAGATGGTGCAGCTTTTCAGTACCCTTTTCGCTTTCTTTTGGTAGGTGCAACGCTATGAACCTCTCCCTTACTAGCAGTGGCATCGAAAACACAATCTGAAGAATACTCACAAACGGTAGGAACCTCTGTAGTGGGTGGCGTCCAGTTGAATGTGTCGCATTAACAGAATCTACGACTGTTATCTGGCTGAGGTCTGAGGTTCTCAAAGCGGGCCTTGAGTTTCTCGACTTTCCGATCCATAATAATAATAATTGTCAGCTGTACGCCGTGACGGCGCTTCGCTGCCGTGCGACCACTACCAGTCGCACGCGGATTGTGTATACCGGGAGGAAGCCCACCGCTACGCGGATTCGAACCAACGCTGCAAGATTACGAGAAAAACTCGTTACCTCTAGGCTACCGGCCGATCCATATAAATTAACAAAGTCAATAGGTATTCCACGTGGTGATGATGATGAACCTGGAAAAGAGTGTCGCGAAAATGTTTGCTGTACATCATCATCAACAGCAGTACATCAGCCATTTGAACTGATGCTTCGCTGCCATACAACCATGAGGACCTATGAAATAAAGAATAAGAAAAGGGAGAGAAAGGGGGACTTACCTGAAAACCTTAATGCTCTAAGCAAACATTCAGGGTCAAGGCGCCTACACCTTGTGTAGACAACATACCGTCACAAACAGCTGGCTATCGTGCAAAGATAAGGCGGCATCGGCGAGACAGCTTCCTTGCGGCTTTCACTGCCACGCGTCATAAGCAGCCATTACCCCGCAGATAACTCAGCACCAAACACACTTTAAACAGACAATCCGATTAGGAGACGGCAGCAGACGCGCCACTGGTGTCGGTTGCGAGCCATGTCCTGTTAAGTCTCGAGCCAAGCACAAGGTGAGTCACGTGGACTCCAACCCGGAAGGCGAGACGGACCAACGGCACCCAGTTTGGTTGTCAGTGACTTCATTTCCCGCTGCCAAGTCAACTTCTGTCCACCTCGAGCCTTGCGCCAACCGACACCTGGTGGACTGAACAAGGCCCTCCTAGGTAAGCGGTGACCAGGCATGCGTAGCACGTGCCCGAGCCAACGTAACTTATTCAGTGCTATCTGTTGTTCTAGGGAGCTAGCATGATCATCACCACCTAGTACTCGCCTACGCACATCATCGTTGCGGACACGCTGGTGCCATCCGACACCAGCAATGCTTCGCAAACAACGATGAGCAAAGACTTAAAGGCGCCTCAGATCTTCAGACCGAAGGGGCCAAGTTTCACTACCATAGAGCAGAACGGCCCTCACTGTGGCCTTGTATATAAGGCCTTTCAGACGGGGGGAAACTCCTTTCTGTCGCCAAAGATGACGCAGGTTCAAGAAGGCAGCTCTGGCCTTTGCAATGCGTGAGCTCACGTCAGTTTCTATGCGCCCATCATTGCTGATGCAGCTGCCCAGATAAGTGAATTGATTAACCACCTCGAGTTCCTCGTTAGCAAGCGTCAAGGGGTCATCGAGTGGCTGGTGGTCCTGCAGCAACACTTTGCACTTTGAAGGTGCGAAGTGCATGCCAAATAATGGGACCACTCTGGATAGGCTATTCAGGGTTGATTGTGCCGCCTCAACATTGTCGAAAAGCAAGACGATATCGTCCGCATAATCTAGATCAACTAACCCTTCACCAGGCAGCACTTCAACACCTACATCGTGAGATTCCGCAAGGGAACACTCCATGATAGAATCCACGACGAAATTGAACAAAAATGGGGAAATCGGGCAACCCTGTCGAACGCCACTTGTAGTCGAAAAGCTATCCGATAGGGCACCATAGACCCTGACGCGGCCTCTAGTGTTCGAGTATAGAGCACGAAGGATGTTCACATATTTCGTGGGAACACCTTTCCGCGCAAGTATTTCGAACAGAATCGATCGATCGACTGAATCGAACGCACTCTTGAAATCGAGGAACACAGCTATTGTCGGTCTGCGGTATGCGTGACGCTGCTCTAGCACCTGCCGCAAAGTAAATATATGGTCTATACAGCCACGTCCTGGGCGAAAACCGGCCTGCTCTTCTCTAATCCGAGATTCCCGTTCTGCAGTGAGGCGACGAACGATAATCGAGGCCAGTAATTTTGTCACAACTGGCGTTAGGCTAATACCCCTGTGGTTCGCACAGTCTGTGCGACTGCCCTTCTTGTATATTGCCACTATAATCGATTCGCTCCAATTAGCCGGCACACTCTCTTCGTTCCAGATACGTTCGAATAGGGAGGTCAGTGCTTTGCAGAGGACCTCACCTCCATCCTTAAATAGTGCAGGTGGTAGGGAATCCGGGCCAGCGGCACGAAAACGATTGAGGGCTGTGATCGCGTTTCGGACCTCGGCCTCCGACGGAGGCTCTAAACTAACGGTCCATGGCTCGTCCTGCATCACCTGAGTAGGAAGAGGTCCGGGAGCAGGGGGCCAGCTGAACTGCTGTACATGGACACCGACAGATCCTGTCCCTACAGCAGTCAGGGTAACAATAAAGCAAGCTTTCACTCATTGCTGCGAGAGTGTACTGCTAAGGAACTTAACCAGTACAGGGCTCGTGTAACTATCTATGGTAAATATCGCATTGCATCCCCCCCCCCCAACGAATCGGTGACCGAGTGGTCCGCACGCATGGCATACAATCATAAAGTCACCGGTTCGAATCCGCGTAAGGGCGGGCATTATCGAAGTGTACTCAGACCACGCGCGACTGGTGGTGTTCGCGCAGCAGCGAAGCGCCGTTACGGCGTACAGCTGACGTTATTTCGTTCATTAAGCTTGGCACCCCACCTTACCACATGGTATTTCTCAGCCAGACGAATCAACGGCAAGCTTTCCTCTTGCCATTACTGTAGTAATAAAACAAGTAATGGAAACGAGCAGGTCAATGAGTAGTAAGAAGAGTACCAGGTTTATGAAAGTCGACTAGGCAATAGACCAGAGCAAAATCAGAAAATAGCGTGGGAAAGACGCATGGACCGACGACAACTCATCAAGTTGACACGCAGATAGGCGCGAAGAACAACAAACTCCTAGCTGCGCTGTATTATATTAAATGATTCGCACCCGCTGAACGGCGGGATGAATATGTAGGTCACGGGAGACTGGTGGCAAACTTCCACTTCTTAACGTGATCAATACGATTTACAAGGGATCAAATTAGGACTCAGGTCTGAATCCTCACAAAGTGATATTTAAACACCGATCCTAAGCGCCAAATAACGCTGAATTGAGGAAATGTCGATAAAAACCAAAGTGGTTTGTAGCGTCGTTTTCATGCATAGATGCCAAGCGACAGTACGGCAGAAAAGCACGAAAAGTAGGTCAGAAATATAAATTCCCGGAATAAGAGAAACAGGTAACAGCGAAGCAAGCATGTGATTTTTCATAACATACGCATTACTTACACACGACATATCCGCTAACAGCAGCGGCAGCCAATTTGTCCTCATGAGACGTCACAAGCAAGGTGTAGTTTCCTGGGGTAAGGTCTAAGAATAGAGCAACACAACATGTAGTTTACTTTTATCCCTTAAGTGTAGTGATATATGTAGGGTGAAGCCATCGACAGATTCCACCGAAAATATCGCGCTAGGATTTTCAGGCGCCTCTGTGAACCGATTAACTTTTATTTCAACGCCATCCAGAAACCAAGTAAGATCAGTTTTCGGAGGTTTATGCGTATATGTAATCATGAAACTTAACGTGACTGGGGCGCTGCGATTCACGTGACGTTTCTCGAAAGGAATATCATGTAACTTAACGTTTTCGATGAACGTTTCAATAGTGACGTTAGACCCCTCAACTTGTAAATATCGGAAAGTAGGTTAAATCGCAAGTACCTTGTGGTGATAGCACTGCATCGACGGAACACAAGAGAAATGCTGCGGCGATAACAAGCGACGACGGGCTACAAACCATCCCAAAGAAACTTTAGGTAATTGTTCTAACAGAGGACAGTCACGACGGTGCGGGCTGCGAGCTTATGAACGCCCACGGTACTGCCCCACTAGTATACGATGTGAATGAAGATAGGGAATACAGTATCCCTTCAGCCTCCAAGTGTCCAAAGCATGGAAACAAAGCGTACTAATTTGGTTTTACTTTGTCGGGGATCGCACGTTTCGGCGTCATTGAAGGATGAAAAAATAAGAGGTGCTAAATGCATGCCTGAAACGTACGTGTTTACTGATTTTATTACTATCTTTTTACAAGTTCAAGCGCATGTTGGACTGGAACGACGGGATTATCCCGTGAGTGTTACTTCTTCAGGGGGATCTTGAACCAGGAGTTAGCAGAATTTGAAATACAGCTGGGGCTGAAGCAAAGAGCGCAACACACCCTGTCCAACCAATTAATGCCATGTATCCTGCCCTAGCAGTCCCAGCTAAGCCGGCTACGTGAAGTAAGGAGGTGAAAACAATAAACTCAGAAGTAAAGACGAGAAACTGGGAAGGGTTAAACATGTAGGATACCACGATAGTTGCTTCGTTAAGCAAGAACTAAACAGCGAATGTGAGTCTGTTATGCAAAAGAAAAGGTTTAGTGCGGCTACTTAAGAGCATCAAGCTGGTGCGCATAACCCTTAACAACAGGTTCCCTAACCACATGAGCTGGATGCCAATTTCAGCCATCTATAACTCGACGCGACAGACGAGTTTCAGTCCTAATCCTATCAGACTGTTGTTTATTCTGTTTCAGTACGTAACCGCGGAGATTAAGTAGCGTAACGGGACTAAATAACTTAGACTAGTCCGGACCGATATTACTCGTCAACATACGCTAAGTGAGAATAAGTTTCCCTCCTATCCTTCGGTAGTGCATGGAGTACATGCCAAACTGAGCAAGCGTTCAGGATACGTCTGTCCCAATGGCCCCTGCACTAACCGAGTACCCATTGGCAGCACCCTTTGCAGGCCCATTTAGTCTCGGAGAATACATGGTAGACAAGTTTGGACACAACATTCTAGGTGGAGTCGGACGAATGCCAAGCATAGCGTCACAAACAAATTGGCCGTTATGATTCCGAAAGAGCAGTATATAAACCACCTCATGCGAAACCACTGACAAGCAGCCTTCTTCCAATTGTCGCCAGAATGCATTACTGATGAGTGTAGACTCTTAAATAGACCTACTCAGTGAAAACAAGGAGTTCACCACCGCCGACGGGTTGGCGGGTGGGAGGATTAGTAGGTCCAATTCGTGGAACAGAGCACTTGCCCTACTTGTGAGTGTTAACCGTATGGTAGACCATTCCCAAAGTCTATCCAAGGCACCCGAAATTGTCTCGGGACCCTCAGGGATATCCACAATATTTCAGAGCTTAACGCCGTCAACAAACCTTGGTGAGGGCACACCTACTTCCCGGCAAGTCCTGTACATAAATCGCGTTGCACGACGACACTAAGGACAGCTTGCCTGAGCGAAAGGCTACGCTAAACCCGTGCGCACAGTGCCCTTCCCTCAAGACACGCAGACGCCCATTGAAGGGCGCGAACAGATATCCCGTAAGGTCTCTACATTGGTGAGAGTCGAAGATGAGAAACCGTGGCAAAAGCTTTCAAAATGTCCACGAATGGCAAGGCTACAGCGTGGCCACTCTCTACCGTTTCGGCCCAGCTTTCACGCGGTACAAGCGGATTAGACGGACACGATAATCTTTTGCGAAATCCAAGTTGCGCAACACTGAGTAGGTTAAATCTATCCAGGTGGTTTTCCTTTGGATCCTTAATCAGCTTTTCAAGCAACTTGATTTCTATGCTTATCAAACTGACAGCTTGGTAGTTAGCTGGCAGTCCGCTGTTACCGCCTTTAAAATCGGACAGATGATTGCCTCTTTCCACGTTGAAGGTAGGGCGCAGCTGGCAAACGATATGAAAACAATACCTGTGAGATGACCACACAGCCCAGTGGCTAATGCATGCAGCAGCTTCCGATGAATTGAATCAGGTATTAATGCCTAGCAGTAGCTCGAGGACCTGAGTCTCCGTTATGTTAAACTCAACTAAGCTAGCATCCTCTGAACACTTGAAAACAATACAACCTTTGATAAAAAATTCTCCCTATCAAAGTCCCCAGTATACTGATCACTAAGTATACAAGTCTTGTCATAGTCAATTTGCGCACGGGTCCCGTCTGCTCGCAATAAAGCTGGTATAGACAGTTTTGTCCCGCTGCGTCTTTTAACGTAAGCAAAAAACTTCTTGGGATTAGCTGCGGCCGAGTACGCTAAACCCTGCTCGTATTGGAGACGAGCAGTTCTGAGATGTTGCTTACATTTATTTCTATTCTCTCGATAACTATCATAGGTACTGGCTGATGAAGCTGCTTGGTAGGTTCGCCAGCATCTAGACTGTTTCTTGAGTAACTCCTTGCCGGTGATGTCTATCCATGGAGGCTGTGCCCGTAACCCACTTTATACGGAGTGTAAACCTCCGTAAGTAACGCCTTAAGTTTATCCCAGGCTAACTGAACGGAGTCGGCCGTCGAGATTTCCCAGTTCAGAATAGGAGCATTAGCTCGCAGTGCACTAAAGACCGCCAGCCAAATATTCGGAAGTAATTCAACGGCGGTCTGTTATTGCCTTGAATGAGAAACCGAAAGGATATGCATATGTAATCGCTGGACCCTAGAGGTGCACCGCACGAAACGTCAGTAGCGAAGTCGATGGAATTGGTGAAGACCAAATCTCAAGTAGATGGTAGTTGGTTGTACATCTACGCAGTGGGGAAGTCCACGAAATGGTACAAACGCACCTGGTGAGGCAAATCAAGTAAGTCCGCAACGAATGTTCCTGACGCTGAATTGAAAGAAAGTTCGGCCCAACACACTTCCGGGTGGTTAAAAACTCACGGAACTAAAAGCTAAATCGCGGACGGATTGCGAATAAGGGCAAGTATCCCGTGGAGAACGTACAGGGCTCCGGTATAAGACTACAACCGTAAACTGGGTAGAAGAAGTGCACAAAACAGCTGATAGGGTTAAAACAGTCTGATCCGACGACTGGAATGTGCAGGTCCTCAACACACCTAAAGTACAGCTCACATACCGTGCAACGCTTTCGACTTGGCGACCAACCAACCGATCAGTTCTAAGCAGCGCGTAGCCGGGTAAACATATTCACCGTCCGTGATCCCGGAGCTAACCAGGTTTCAGTGAAAGCAAGTATGTCGGGATTAGATCTCTCTACAGGGAGACCCCACTCATGCAGCCTAGTCTTTAAATTACGCACGTTACTAAGTACTACCCAAAGGAAGTCGCCACTGCGATCCCCGGCTCGAGCGCCATAAGGATGGGTTTCGCTGGGAAGGAAATTAACTTCCCGCTGACCATCTGAAAACCCACCAGAAGGAGGCGTTGCTCACCAGCCGCCCGTCTAGTGTTGAGCTTTTGATAGCCTCCTTCAACTTCAACCGATCCGTCAGCGGATTATCTGTCTGAACGCTGACACCACTACCTTTAAGTTTGAATGCAAGCCGCAGTAATGCTTTGCGTTCCCAGGGGTGGAAAAACCACGCAAAGTAGTCTGGGCCGCAGCTATGCCGTACCGATAGGGTCGTACCCACGCTGATTAGATTGCTGACACTGACACAAGGGAAGCCCGGTGAAGTACCTTGGTGACGCATAGTTTGAGTCACTTGATATCATCCAAAGTGCGTTCCATTGGCAGGGCAGCCGTAGCTTCAGTAGCGTTACGGAATATAACGCTACCATCCACGAACGAGTGGCCACGAAGAAGAGTACTTACCTCAGGTAACTTGGGGTCAACAACTACGCCAGTTACTTTCACCACTGACGGTGGGACTGTCCCTGTCAACCCAAACAACGTCGAAGCAACGGTAGTGTAAGTTTTCCGCGCGATAGCCGGCGTCTTACTATTTCCTGGGTCTTCAAACTCCATCGAAGTTTTACGGGCAGATCTAGTCAGGTTCTTCTAACGCATGCTACTAAAGTCAAGTTTTTCGTTTTCCAAATCATTACTAAAATTTTTATTTATAAACTTGCCCTACTATGTATTCTACAATGCTGTTTAGATAATGACTAACTGTATAAAGCCCATCATTCCACGTGATTGAGGTCTACACTATTTCGACACGCGTAACTTCAAGTAAAGTTGTTTCCATTTTAACATTACCTATGTTTGCGTTCTCCTACAGACAATTCCGCCTTACGATTGCACCCTGGGAAGAGTAGATGCCACCACAAAAGCATCCTGTAATTGATAACCGGCAGCATAATCCCCATGGATTGTCTCCAACATTGGCCCCCAGGTTTTCAGCTTATTCATCACAGCAATCACAACACACTACAGGTCTCAGGCGGATAAGTCGCACGCATCGCACGGGTGCTAACCTTATCACCTAGAATGCAAAATACATTTAGCCATTACTGCTAAGTACCTGACGTGCTTCGGTTCCCTCCCTGAAACGTTGGTCCAAATGTTGTATGGAAGACTTGGCATCTACAACCCTCCAGATACTCTTTTTCAATAATCACTTTGTCAATTTTTAAAAATTTAATAAGAAGTACAGCCTGGTTTACTAACCGGTAGGTTCTCAAACCCGTAAGTATTCCTCATATAGGATACCGCAGGGCAATGACGAGGCCATCCGAGCAGGCAAACTTCAATTCTTACATCTTATCTACATCCTCACTCCTTGTCTTCAGCTTTACATTTATATTTCTAAATTCTTAGACCACTGGGGCCGTGGAAATTACATTAGAATTATGACCTTTGAGATACGTCTAGTAAAGGCATCCTACCAGACCTAAGACTTGCATTACATGTTGAAAGCCATTGCTGCTGCGATCCACCGAAAATAAGCATTAGAATGGGATTTAGAAGTACCTTTATGTACCTTCTTAGATAACACTTGATAGCTGGCATTCCTTGAAGCGTTTGCATTAAGTCTGAGCACTACCTATTTGCCCCGCCATTTCATACTACTATCGGTATGTACACAGCACAATATATATATATATATATATATATATATCCTTCATACTGACGCCAAAGAGAGCACTTTAAAAGTTCTGGGCCCAAGAAGCAGACATTTTGCTCTC